ATGACGTTCTCGACAGCTGCTTCTTGCCTTTGGTCGAGGTAAATATTCAAGCAGCAGTAGTAGCTCGGAATTTTAGAAGTGTGGTTAAAAACTCGAATTCGTAGGACAGCTTGGAAGCGGTTCTAGTGACTCAGCGGTGGAAATTCTGACCTCCTAAATATGCATCTCACGGGGCACCCTGCACCCTCTCTCTAAACCTATCCCATTGAAGACAAATTTTACAGTCACCGCCGAGGCCGGAACTCTCCAATTGCGAGCTAAATTTGTCCACAGATGCAGATGCGCACTACTTTCTGCGCCCGAATATACCACGAGAACAACGCAGGTGGGTAGCTATATCCGGATGCCGTCTCCGCATTCCGCCCGCGTTGCCGCATAGCCAGCCACGCTTGATTATAGCCAAACGCGCCAATTGTATGCGCTCTCTCTCATTTCTGGTTGTTCTCTACCGCTCAGTGCGTGTTTTGCTGCCCAATTTTGGTATTTGCGCAAGTGCTGCACATTGAGGATGGCGTAGACGGAGCATGGAGAAGGCATCCAGATATCACTTCCTTCCTCCCCGTTCAGTGCATCTTCCTGTGCACTTTCGAGTGCACCGACTCAGTAAGCTCTCAAACTCGGACTCAATAAGGCGTCAGTGTGGTGCTTGTCTGCGAGGTCTAAAATATTTGAACCGCTCCAACTGATTCTTGAGACGCAGTGCTTCTTGGCCATGAATCTCACAAATGCGGCTTTAGCCTTCTGCTTGAGAGCTGAATTGAGTGGTTGTCGGAAATACTCATTTTCTTCGCTTAATACTTCACTATAGTCACTTAGAAAACAGTAGAAATTGGTTCTCCAAAAAGAGACTAGGTGTATCATCTAGAGCGGGGACTCTCCCACAAAATCGATCGATCTGGCCAGCCTTATGTTGCGAGAGAGCATAGGATAACAGGAGGGAAGGCGCTGCCCCCACGCAATCTGGTGCCCTCCTATTCGTCTATACTCTCGCAAAGCACAAGCGCCCTGCGTCGATCGATTGCCATCTGCGGCTGCGTTAGCGTCCTTGTACTGGTGTGCAATTGTAGCGCATCGAGCGCATGCGGCGCCTCAACGCGAGGTCTGAACGCTGCCTGAGAGTCACTAGCGGGACGCTCTACCTTCTCCGCAGAGTCTCAAGTTGTAAAAAAAGACCGTTATTGGCCAACGCAGTAGTTCATGATAGTCCACTTTCAAGTAAGCTCTTACCCGTATCTTCGTCGGAACATTTCGGTAGTTTCACGAGCAGTTTTGTGCGTGTAATAAATAAACACGGCTGTGGCCCAGACGTTCTGTATCCTTTCAAAATAAGTTGGTCTGTGCGTGATGTCCATGCCAATCAACGAAGGGATGTAGGACGAGGGTTGAGTCATCCCCAATATCCAAGCCATATAATCGCTGATTGGGCAGCTGAAACCACCTGTAGTTCGCTGTAGTTCAAACAAGACTATTCAGCTATTTACCTGGACACCCAAAAATGAGATTTGATCCCCAACACATAAGCCAGTCCATTTCCGCACAGGTTAATCTGTTCACCAAAGTACGCGTCGAATTTTTCTCCTCGTAGGTATTCCATTACTTCTTTCCGACTCAAAAGATCTTAATATTAATCTTAAGACAAATGTGTTCCTCACATTTCAAGCAGACTACAGTCTGGTTCGTGCAGATGATGGGGCGTGTCAACGCGGCTGCGTTTGACAAAGCTCCAACCCGATTTTTTTTTCTCCCCTCGAACAAGAGTATTGCATCATATCGCACTGAACAGCCATTTTTGACCTACTATACTGGCTTAAACAAGTGCTGGAGAATGGATTTGGCGCCATGCCAAAGCAGCCGCGCAGACACGCCTCATCATCCGCAGCCAATCACTTAATGCTTCAAAGAAGTACTTTTTTAGCAGAGTGTTTTAACGAGAAATCACGAATAATATGGAAAAAGCAGCTCACCATCGCATAGCTTAATGTACGCTCTGCTATACTTCAGGATCTCTTGGTGCTCTCGAAGCACAGAAATCTCATTAAATGCTGCTCCAGAAAACTCTTGAATATTTAAATACACATGTATTCAACAAGTATAGTATAGTAATACGTTGGGCGTGATTAATGTAATGCTGACCTTGTATGACATCGTACAATATGGATGGAAAGCCGGACACAGGTACTCTACGCGCCACTTTTGCGCTATTCACTGTATGAGAAATATTCAAGAAGTCGGGCTCAAGTAGAACCTGGAACCAAAAGCGTCAGAAATGACCCAAATTCTTGCTGTAGAGCAGATCAACACATCAAATAACTCACTACATCGTGGCCGGCCATGGCCAATTCATCAGCTATTCGTCCATTTGAGATCATATGAGATCGACTGATTGTTGGAGAGAATACCAGTATTTTATATGAATCAACAGTCACGAAAAAGCACAATAAAATGAAGATGAACATACTCCCTTCAACAGTCATTTTTCATAATCATAGAGGCATACACAAATTAGCAGTGTAAAGTTTGGTAGGCAAAACAAGGAAACAGGGAAGTAAAAGGCAAAGGTCACCGATTTTCTGTTGATGCTGTGACCACAAGTGCCACTATAACTCGCTTGGTCTCATAGTGTTATCTAAGGGACAGCAAGGAACAAAACAGCTGATATAGGTTAGATCGCTGTGACCTTTGCAAACTGTGGCCAGCCACACGTCTTGGAAGGGGTACTCGAGAAAGCCATTTTGAAAAAATGCATAATTTGAACAGTCTGCCACCTGGAAGCGTAAACACGCCTCATGGCAAAGGCTCTTCTACTGGACCCATTGTATGATTGTTCCTTTTTATACATTAGTTTTATTTTTTTTAGTATGCACTCAAAGGTCACATGTCCTATCAGCACCTTAACGGCGTGGCGTTGAGATGGTTCTAAAACCAGCTAATGAGGTGTTCACACTGAGCTGGAAAAGCGGCCCGTATGCTTAATTTGTTTGACTTCTGACACTGACCTTAATCATCTATTTTGCTCGGGTGTCTGGAGTGCCTCCGAAGCCGTTGCGTAGTGCGCCCGCCTACTAAGTGCCACGTTTCCCCCGCCCACTGTGTGTCCAATTCTCAACCGCTGACCCCTCGCTGACATTCATCCAATTTTTCCCGGGTATCTGAAGTGCTCTGATACGTTATACGAATTTCTAACCATAAGTTCGGCACCACCCACCACACCACAGGGTCCACCCCGCAGTGGTGTATCCCACATTTCTCAAACCGCTGACTTTGATCCACTTTTTTTCGGTGTCGGTAGTGCCCTCCTACTGAAGCACAAAGCCGTGCCCTGCGTAAGCACGCCCACCTCGCGCCGCACGCCTCCGACCCTCTGTGTGTCGCACGTTCCTCAACCGCTGACCCCTCTCTGATCATAATCTACTTATTTCTCGTTGTTTTTAGTGCTCTGGGACCGTTCAAAGGATTTTTCCGATTAGCCGCTCCCACACCACCCCCCTTCGGCACCTAACATGTGGGTTCCACACCTCTCGACCTCTGAGTTCTCGCTGACCTTAAAGGCAGTTGGCACGATGGTTTCCTACTTAGCCTAAAATGCTAGTAGGGCGCTGTATAGTGGGGAAATGGCGAAAGAACGGAGTGAAACGGTCAAAATCCGGCGAAGAAAAAGCCTCCGTTCTCAGTGACTTAAATCGATTTCGGACGAGTTTCCCGTACGCATCTTGCCAATCACCGCTACCGAAGATACGGCTGCATATGTGTACCCATATATGCATGCAGCATCACGGCCGCTTCATACCAATCCCTTTGCTTCATAATTTGCTTCAGCAAATGAATGAATACGAGCGTCAGAAAAAAGATTCCACGCAGCGCCTGTCCGAGGTCCTTTAATCCTCTCTTTTTTGATGGTCTGTGGAGTGCCCTGATTATATAATATAAATAGTTCTCTGCGGACGGTTGGGCTTATGAGGCGGGATCAGTTTGGCGCGGTGCAACAAGTTCTCCACCAGTTGTTGAAGCGAGCAAGCGATAGGACTCTATCGTATGGTTCGTTCTACTCGGTTACTACCACTATTGTCGCATGCGCGCTTCAACAAGAAGGCAGAGAACGGCTTCAACGGCGTGACACACTCATACTGCCTGACACGCCCAACCGTCCGCAGCGAACTAGAGTATACAGGGGGGGGGGCAAAAAAGTCACTTTTCTTCATTGACTTTCGAGGCGCTATAAGTTACACTTTATTGAATTCTGATCGGACATTTTTACCACCATATTAAAGAGCATATCAAATACTATGACACTCCGCCACAGCCTTCTGGACGAGCGCCATCGAGAGATTCTGGCACGCGACCGCGATGTGGTGCCTGAGATCAGCGAGATAGTCGATTTCTCCGCCACCGTAGACCACCCTATTGAACTCCGCCCGAACCGGGTAATTGAGGGGATTCAGGTCAGGTGACCTACTTGGATATTCCATCTTCTTTAGGTATTCAGCCCCCTTCCAGAGTTTCTCCAACGCCCTTCGATTCCATGTGGTGGCACCCAATGCTGTAGCAGTACAAAGTTTCCAAGAAGGTACGGGCGACGACATGTGAGGAGGATATTCTTCACGAGTTGCTCGATGTAACCGCCAGCGCTCACCTTCAGTCCGGGGCCCACGAAGAAAATATCGGTCTTTCCATTCCAGGTACGTCCGGTCCATACCATCAACCCGCGCCTTGGCGACTGTGGTGAAGATGATGTCCTAGACCGTGGCGACGTTGTCGGAGCTGCTCGATGTTGGAGGTCTTCCAGATCGAGAGTACTGGTCTCCAGGTAGCTATCCATGGGTGACTCCATACTAGAAGTTTCGCAGCTGTTTGGAGGTGACATGAATTCCAAAGGTCTTCTCCAGTCAGGCTGCGACTGGAGATGACTTCATATTTTGGTGTACATGAAGGTGATGGGCGAGAGCCAGCTCCTGCTTATAGAGGAACATCTTGGGTATCTTCCGCCCTGGTACTCGTATCCACGTCCTCTGTCTGGGCAGCGAAAACTTTGCTGATATGTGACTCGGTCGAAGTGACTTTTTTCCCCTGTATAGTGGGTGACTGCTCAATCCTGACAGCCAACTCTACCGTTAAGCAGCATAAGATCCAAGGCCAGGGGTTCTTCAAGACTGTGGTAAAGGCTCCTAGTAAGTGTCCGCATTGTTCCTTTACCTTCCTTACCAGAAAAGCTTCAGAGGCTCATTCTATGAATGAACGGCTTTTTATCACCCCTTCCCTAAGGTGTTAGAAACAGATCTTACTGTTCTGCAGCATCTACACTATCGAAAAACAACTAGTTGAAACAAGTCCACAACGGCACCACTGTTGGATTCGTGTTAGCTTGCGCACAAATATTTTAATAGAATGATAGAATTGAACTATCCCTGAGCCTCATGCGTTATAATGTCTTCTTCAACAAAATTCAATGAGTACTCGAAACACAATTTTCATTGGTAAGCTTTCGCTGTGGTAACAGCTTCGTCAGACCTCAAATATATAAAGCATACATAGCACTACAAATCTTTACAACAATAGAGTTGGTCGAAGTACTAACCAGACTGGAGTCCTTCTTAACAATAAAGTTGCTAAGGTCTGTAATACAATACACTCAATGCCTACAACTGATGACAACTACACTAAATACTAACGACCTACCCCAGTGACACCTCCAATGCAACTAAAATGACTGACAATAAGAATGCGACACTTCTTTATTTCGGGGATAACCGCTTGATAGCGATCGCTTCAAGCAACTTCCTTTCCAATGGGCTATCCTTCGAGCGGTGTAAAACCGTCACTTTCAGGCGGGGAGGTGCTTCTTGTTGGTGAAACATCGTACGATGCCGCGAGAATCCACTCTGGGGGTAAGAAGAGGGATTCCGCAAGGCTCGTCCATCCTTTTGTGTAAAGGTCGCATTGTTTCACCAACATATCTCTGATTGCATCCTTCGCATGTGACCAAGTAAACTGTCCCACGTAACTGGCAGATTTTATTTTCTGTACAGTATAGACAGTTACTTCGGCCACATTTGTGCACCTCTGACGCATAACAACACGGATCCTAAGCAAGATTATGGATAGGAAAACAACCAGACGTTTTCTTCTCACATATCCGATGGTGCCAACGTATTACGCATTGGTCAAGACGCACAAGTTCCCGGAAGAAGTTGACCTACGTCGAAGAGAACTCAATCAAAGTCAGACCAATTATATCGTCATGTGGAGGCCCTTCGGATAGAGTGAGCTGGTTCCTCACGAAGCTCCTGTCGCCGCTTTTGCAACATGTTGCGGCTCATTTAGTCAACGCAGGAGAATTCATATCAGCTCTGGATCGATGTGAGATACCCGATGATGCTTCGTACGCGAGCTTCGACGCGGTTTCTTTGTATACCAACGTGGACTGTAATGAAGCTATAAATTCTGTGATGGAACTGCTAAGAAGACATCATGAAGAAGTGCATACATTCGGATTGATGGAGGAAGATTTGCGCGAGCTCCTATTAGCAACCTTGAAAGTGTAACATCTTCCAGTTTGATAGCATGTTCTATTCACAGAAACGAGGCCTTGCCATGGGATTGAGGATTTCGCCGCTACTAGCCATCGTCTATTTGGATAGGATTGAAAGGAGATCTCTGATCACTGCTGTGTAATTCTTTTTTGCCTGCGAGGTTGTTAGGTGGAACTGTTTATTGACGGCCTAACGTTTCGACCAGATCGTCGTCCTCGGAGGCCTGAACATCGCCCAAGATTTTTAATTTGCTTTCTAACGTCAAAACGCCTCTGTTTCATTTAGCGTTTCTGACGAAGCTTCAAGGAACAACCGAAAAATCTCCCGTATGTATAACTAACTCACCAAGTCCACCGCGGCAAGAGCGGAAGAAGCCGCCCAGTCAATTGTTAGTAGTATTTGTGAGACTCACTGTGCTGTCCTTACATATAGTAATCATATTCAAGACTTGCACGTCTCACTGCTCACAGTAGCTGGCAGTGCGGTGAAAATGGCATGAGATCATTTGTTATGGATAAACACTCATTACGGTTGTTCATTCTAGGATTCCTAGCAGAAATCCAGAATGCCTCCAGCGCTTTCCTGGCGGAAACCTCAGTCTCGTACGCTAAAATTTTGCACTTCACATCATAGTCGTCTCCGCAATGCTCTTCGATCAGATGCTTGCCCAGCGGTGTTGTTAGGTTACCACGCCTTTTACCAGCAAGATGTTCCTTGATGCGCGTTGCTAGTGCCCTTACAGTCTCCCCAATGTGTGTTGCATTACATGTCTGGCATTCAAGTTGGTAGATCACGCGCCCTCTCCTATAGTACCACTAGGATATATCAGCCAGCTTGTGCGAAACAGGCTCTACGATAAGCAGTGTATGTCAGACCAATGCATTTAGGACATACATTGGCTCTGAATGATATACACTGCTTATCGTAGA